ACAATCGCTGTTGTAGTATTAGTGCATGCATGCTCTACGGTCTCCATTCATGTTTAACAAAAGGCCCATCTGCAGTCTCACAGGCTGAGTAACAAGCTTCCCAACAGAAAAAAATGTAGCCTGTTGCATGTCAGTACAGACCAAATGATTTCCGTGGATTTCAGTTAGCGAGTGAGCAGTACTGGGCTGGCCAGTGAATATCCTAGACAGCTGTGTGAAAAGAAAGTATATGCTATGGTCAGCTTGAAGTGTCATGGAAAAGGATTTGCGCACTAAAAGTGCACTTATTCTTTATATTTACCAGCATTTCTTTTGTAATATGTTTTCAAGAGCAGACTATGGCACCTATGAAAAACGGTTTTGCTATTAGAAATGGAAAGACACATAAAGACCTCTAAAGCTGAAATGAAAATTAAAAAAAGAGGCAGTCATGTGTCCACTGATCTATTTCTTTAGGTCATACATCTCTCTCACAAAGTTATAAATTGGCACACAGATCAGTGTTTAGAATATATATATATATATATATATATATATATATATACAGTCAGGTCCATAAATAATGGGACATCGACACAATTCTAAAATTTTTGGCTCTATACACCACCACAATGGATTTGAAATGAAACGAACAAGATGTGGTTTAACTGCAGACTGTCAGCTTTAATTTGAGGGTATTTACATCCAAATCAGGTGAACGGTGTAGGAATTACAACAGTTTGCATATGTGCTTCCACATCTTAAGGGACCAAAAGTAATGGGACAAATAATTGGCTTCCCAGCTGTTCCATAGCCAGGTGTGTTTAATTTGGTTGCATTATCCAATTACAATGAGCAGATAAAAGGTCCAGAGTTCATTTCAAGTGTGCTATTTGCATTTGAATCTGGTTGCTGTGCAACTCTACTCAAGATGAGATCCAAAGAGCTGTCACTATCAGTTGAAGCATTTTCATCAGTTTTGCTGAAAGTGAAACATGAAACAAACCCATCAGAGAGATAGCAAAAACATTGAGGCGTGGCCAAAACATTCCACTGTTTGGAACATTCCCTTAAAAAGAAGGAATGCACTGCAGTCTGCTTTGAGCTCATTGCAATCACCAAAAGACCGGAAGACCACAGAAAAACAACTGTGGTGGATGAAGCAAGAAAGAATTCTTTCCCTGAAGAAAACACCCTTCACAACAGTTGGCCAGATCAAGAACACTCTCCAGGAGGTAGGTGTATGTGTGTCAAAGTCAACAATCAATAAAGAAGACTTCACCAGAGTGAATACAGAGGGTTGACCACAAGATGGAAACCATTGGTGAGCCTCAAAAACAGAAGGCCAGATTAGAGTTTGAGCCAAGTTCCTTTCCTTCTAAAAAAGCCTTCACAGTTCTGAACAACATCCTATGGACAGATGAGACCAAGATCAACTGTACCAGAGTGATGGGAAGAGAAGAGTATGGAGAAGGAAAGGCAAACTGCTCATGATCTAAGCATACCACTTCATCAATGAAGCATGGTGGTGGTAGTGTCATGGCATGGGCATGTATGGCTGCTGGAACTGCTTCTCTTGTATTTATTGATGATGTGACTGCTGACAAAACACCTAGCCGGATGAATTTCTGAAGTGTTTGGGCATTTTCTTCACATATTCAGCCAAATGCTTCACCAACCACATTGGACGCCACTGCACAGTGCAGATGGACAATGACCCCAAAGCAGACTGCTTTTTAAATGCAACCAAAGAGTTTTTTAAGGGAAAGAAGTGGAATGTTATGCAATGGCCAAGTCAATCACCTGACCTGAATCCGATTGAGTTTGCATTTCACTTGCTGAAGGCAAACTGAAGGGAAAATGCCCCAAGAACAAGCAGGAAAGTGAAGCAAACAATTGCAGTAAGGCCTGGCAAGCATCACCAGGGAAATGAAACCCAGTGTCTCTGGTGATGTTATGCGTTCCAGCCTTCAGGCTTGTAATTGGGCAAAGGAGGGAATAAACCAAGTATTAAAAAGTGAAAGTTTGATTTATGATTATTATTCTGTCCCATTACTTTTGGTCCCTTAAGATGTGGGAAGGCACATATGCAAAACGGTTGTAATTCCTACACCGTTCACCTGATTTGGATGTAAATACCCTCAAATTAAAGCTGACAGTCTGCAGTTAAACCACATCTTGTTCGTTTCATTTCAAATCCATTGTGGTGGTGTATAGAGCCAAAAATTTTAGAATTGTGTCGATGTCCCATTATTTATGGACCTGACTGTATATATATATATCTCAAATGTATTTTTTTTAGAATACATTGTTGGTTTCAGTCCTCTGACCTGTTTGTTTGCAAGATTTTGTTTTTGGGCTCTACCTCCCACACAGTAGAAGGACAGAGGACAGGCATTTACACAGCCATGTCTGAACCCAGGAACTGTGTCCTTGAGCTTCCTGGTGCTGCCACCAACCCCTCAAACCCACTGTGACCAAGGGAGGACTGACCATTGGGAAACTCGGGTACTGCCCAAGGGCCCGGGGTCAGTAGGGGGCCCCATGAGATGACCCTGGTAGCTTTGTCATAGGCTTTTTTGAGTTTGGGCAAGGACACCGGAGCCCCATGATCCCCTATTGCCAGGAGGCCCCATGCGTTGTCAGTCCGCCCCTAACTGTGACCTATTTCGTGATAGCGGCTGCCACTATGCACTACTAGCACTGAACACAAAATACGTAAATGGCACCAAAGCCTGAACCACCACTGATTGTTTCATCAGTAGCTCTCACCCCCTGCATCCCTGATGCTCTAGCCAAGGCCCATGTGGTTTAGCCTCCAATCTGGCCTTGTAGACATTTTCTTAACTCCTTCATGAATATATCAAAAGATCCATTACAAGTTCTCTTTGGTTCTAATGGGCCATGCCTGGAAAAAAAAATCACAGCATATCTGCATATACAGAACACAAAAACATATTTATTCATGAGCAAAGGTTTGTTAAGCCAACGAGTGTCTGTTTTTTTTTTAAATAAAGCTGTCAGTTCTAAGGGAATCTGTTTCTTGTAAGATTGTTACATGTGTTAAGGGACTGGTACTGAAACTTAGCATCTGTCACTGAAGGTGGTAAAATGATGACCAAACATTTGGGGAAACATAACAGAAGATCTAGCTGATCATAAAGTTGTGAAGTGTACATTTTGCTACAATGACAACAAAAGGTGATCTTTTATTTTCATTATAGTAGAAAAAACAAACATGGTTCAAAGGAAAACTAACTAGTTTTATTTCTTCAAGCTTTCAAAAAGCGTGCACTAGGCGTAACTCACACATCAGGATCAAGTATCTGTATTTCTAAAAAAACTAATTTCTCAAAAAAAAAAATATTTTTAAATAGTAAACATGTTCATTAACTACTGTATATTGTGTGGTCCATTTGTACATCATACATTCATACAATATATTCATATGCTTAAGGTATTGTTACATAAATATATTCAACTTTTAAAGTGCTAAACATTTTAAAGTATATATATGCCCAATCACTATAACCTTGCATGAGCTTATATATGGTAAAGTAGTTTTAAAAGTTGTTTTCAATCTTGTTAAATATTCTTTAACCGATTGCCGACCAGCCACAGTACATTTACTGCGGCAGGGTGGCACCGGTGCGCAAAATCATGTATATATATATACGTGATTTTGCATATCGGGTAGGGGGCACGCATGAGTCGCGAGACCGCCCTACCCATGCTGCCGATCCCGGCCGCGGGTGTCAATCACCGGGTTCAGGACGGAGATTACCCACCGGAGCCCGGCGATTACCGGCAAACACTAACAGAGAGGACGGCTGCAGTGTTTACACTGCAGCTCTCCCCCTGTCAGTTTCCAGCACACTGTTCCGGAGAGCAGAGCTTAGCTTTCCGGGACAGTGTGTTCCTCCTGTGAAGCACACACCCCCCGTCCCCTAGTGAAACACTCCCCTCACACAGTTAACCTTTTGATTGCCTAAAAATGTTAACCCCTTCCTCCCCAGTGCCATTAGTAGAGTGTCAGTGTTTTTTTTTTTTTGCATTGATCACTGTATTGGTGTCACTGGGTATGTCATTGACCCCAGGTCAGTTCCCCCCAGTGTCAAAATGTCTGCTGCAGTACCGCCATAAGTCGCTGATCGCCCCATAAGTCGCTGATCGCCGCCATAAGTTGCTGATCGCTGCCGTTATTAGTATAAAAAAATACAAATTCCAGTATCTATACCGCCATTTGTAAGCGCTATAACTTTCACGTAAACCAATTAATTTTCACGTATTGGGATTTTTTTTTATGACAAAATTAAATTTTTAAATTTTTTACTGGACATGTTTTTTAGCAAAAAGTCCAAAATATTGTTTTTTTTTTCTCAAAATTGTCGGTCTTTTTTTTTTATAGCGCAAAAAATAAAAAACACACAGGCGATCAAATACCACCTAAAGAAAGCTCAATTCATGGGAAAAAAAAGGATGTAAATTTCATTTGGGTGCAGAGTTGCATGATAGTGCAATTGTCAGTTAAAGTAACGCAGCGCCGTAACACAAACTGCTTCTGTAACCGCTTCCTGACCGCCTTATAGCAGAAATACTGCTACAGAGCGACACGGGTGCACAAAAGCACATATATATACATGATTGGAGCTCCCGTGGTTTTCACACGCCTCCCAGATAGCATCAGATTGCCCGTCAGTACACCAGTAATCACATTTAACCCCTTGATTGCCAGGAACATGCTTATACACAATAAACCTCCATTGCTAGTATAGTGTCTGAACGGATCAATATCTTTGATCAGATCAGCACTATACCAGCGTTCACATTAGTATAGCATCCCCAAAAAAAAACCAGCGTTAGCAGCATCAGCCCCCTGGCACCTGTCAGCACCTGCATTTAGCCTCTACACTTACCCCCCCTTCTCCCCCAGCAAGTAGGGTCACTGTCACTTGATACATTGCACACAAAAGTGTTGACAGAATCAGGCCTGATCTCTGTTAGCACTTGCCGGTAAATTTTGATGACTCTCATATGCAGCAGAGTGCCAGTACTAGTGCCACGCTACATTTTGGTGAACTGGCGAGCACCAGCGACCTAGTACATCCTGGTCTTTCACATACCTGTTAGATTGTAAGCTCCAAGGAGCAGGGCCCACCTAACCCTCTTGTATTGAACTGTATTGTTGCTGTATTGTCTCCCGTTATATTGTAAAGCGCTGCACAAACTGCTGGCGCTATATAAATCCTGTATAATATTAATAATAATAATACCAGCACTACAGTATCACTTGGCGATGTGGCGAGTCCCATAATTGCAGTACAAGCTGGTGCATTGGCGAGCACAAGTATTGTCCCGCTGCCACCAAGAATTCGCACATAGGCCCGTAGAGCCCCTAGTATCTTTCCGGATGTGCTTGCAAATCCCGAATGGCAGCCCACAAATTCTGCAGCACTCATACTTCCCCCATTCACTGCCCAGCCCGGAATTCAGGTGGAAACAGCAAATTTAACTACTCCCCTTGATTCTTTGGAGTTGTTTTTTCACGGAAGATCTGTGGGCATTGATTGTGGATCAAAGCAATTTATATGCACAACAATTTAACACCACCAACCCAAATTCGAACCTTGCCAGACCATTCGCATGGAAACACATTACGGTTTCTGAATTTACATTTTTTGTGGGCCTAACCCTCAACATGGGCATTACTAAAAAAAAAAAAAGAATTGCAGTTGTATTGGTCCACAGACCCGATTCATCCCATTCCCGTGTTCTGTGCTGCCATGGCCAGGCATAGATATGAGAGTATAATGTGTTTTATGCATTTCAACGACAATACACTCTGTCGTCCTTGGGGTGACCCTGAATTTAACCAGCTCCACAAAATTCAGCCCCTCGTAAATTACCTTAACCAAACATTTGCAGATGTCTATACTCCCCAGCAAAACATCTGCATTGATCAATCCCTCATTAATTTTTCTGGTCTCCATGCATTCAAACAATTTCTCCCCAGCAAGCGTGCCAGATATGGGGTCAAGGTGTATAAGGCCTGTGAGAGGACAACAGGCTATACTTATAAGTTTCGGGTTTATGAGGGAAAAGATAGTCATGTGGAGCCCCCGGATGCCCAGACTACATGGGGAGCAGTGGCAAGATAGTTTGGGACTTGGTGTCATCCTTTTTCCATATTGGGTACCACTTATACATGGACAATTTATATTCAAGCGTGCCACTATTTAGACATTTGTACAATCTTGGAACTGGCGCATGTGGTACCGTGTGACCTCATGTGTGCCCACCATTAGAAGTGGGTGGATGCAGGGCTGTATATTCTAATGGTGGGCATACGACACACTTTTTCTGGCAGAGATTTTTTCTCTTTTTTTCATTCAGCCCACAGGCTGCATACAAAAAAAAAAAACATAGCATATACACCCAACAAGGATCAGTGATGTACTGGTACTGGTACATCACGGGACTTTGAATGGTTATACCAGGATGATGCTTACAGCTGCAGGCATCATCCTGGTATCATTTTCAGCTGGCGATCGGCTTTCATGTAAATGGAATCCTAATGGCTAATTAGCTGCAGGATTGCTTTTACAAGTAGTGGGAGATGATGCCCCCCCTCCCCTGCTGCCTTCCACGGCCTTCTCGGGCAGTCCCGTGCCATGGGGGAACCTGAGAATGCAGCTGGTGTTTCTGCCAGCTGACCATAGAGCTGATTGGAGACCAGAATGGTGAATGGTGGTGGTCTCTATAATGTAAGAAATCTGAAGCTAAGAGCATTTCATCACTTCCGTTTTGCAGGATATAATTTAAATTTGGAAAGCATCTGATCACACCGATCTTGGTTTGATTAGATAATGTAAGGGCAGAGGAGGGATCTAGAGTCTGATAGATCCCAGATTTCTAAAAAAAAAATATATGACAATGCCCATTGAAGTTATAGGGGATATTTGCATTCCCTGTGATAGCATTAAAAGTGATTAAAAAAATGAAAGGGACAGTGGAAAAAAAAAAAAAAAATCTCGCCCTGCCTTACGCGTGCACACCTGTGTGCACTAGCATTGACCCTGTACCGGTATGTAAACAGCGGTTGCACCATGCATGTGATATATTGCCGTGAATGTCAGATCAAGGGCAGTAATTCTAACACTAGACCTCCTCTGTAAATCTAAAATGGTAGCTTGTAAAGGCTTTTAAAACATTGCCTATGATATTAAAAATGTATGCAGTTTGTCGCCATTGGGGCATGCGCAGTTTTAAAATCATGTCATGTTTGGTAACTATTTACTCAGCATACCATCATCTTTTATATTTTACCAAATAATTGACCAATATATTATGTTTTTGTGCATTAAAAGTAAAAAAAGTGTATCTTTTTTTTATTTTCTTTTGAAAAATCGCTGCGCAAGTACTATGTGAAATAAGAAATTGTAGTACTCACAATTATATTTACTAGGGTATCTGTTTAAAAAAAATATATAATGTTTGGGAGTTTAAATTAATTTCCTAGCAAAAAATACTGATTTTTTTCAACTGAACAAAAAGTGTCAGAAAAGGCTTGATCTTCAGGTGTTTAGAAAAGTGAGTGATGTGTGGAATAAACTTCTAATGCTGGGCATAAAATGCCCCCACCCCCCACAATGACCCCTTTTTAGAAAGTAGACACCCCAAACTATTTGTTGAGGGGCATGTTGAATCAATAAAAGAATTTATTTTTTTATCACAAGTTTTTGGAAAATTACAAAAATGTTTTTTTTTTACACAAAATTGTGTCTTAAATGATTTATTGGTCACACATGCCATGGGTATATGTGGAATTACTCCCCAAAATACATTTTGCTACTTTTCCCGAGTATGGGGGTACCACATGTGAGAAACGTTTTGGCAGTCTACCCAAGTACAGGACCCCAAAATCCAATAAGCACCAGCAGGCTTTTAAAGGGCTTTATTTCCTCATTACATTTCCTGACTACCTATCACAGTTTTCGAGGCCCCTGAAATGCCAGGATAGCACCCCCCCAAATGACCCCTTTTTGGAAAGAAGACACCCCAAGGAATTTGTTAAGAAGCATGGTGAGTATTTTGCAGATCTTGTTTGTTGCCACAAGTTTTTGGAAAATTAAGAAAGAAAAAACATATTTTTTTCTTTTCTTTTTTTATATTTCAAAACCTTGTGAGAAAAAAATGAGATCTGCAAAATACTCACCATGCCTCTTTTTAAATTCCTTGGGGTGTCTACTTTCCAAAAAGGGGTCATTTTGGGGGGGGGGGGGGGGGGGTTGGTGCTATCCTGACATTTCAGAGCCTCCGCAACTGTAATAAGTAGTGAGGAAGTGAAATGAGGAAGTTACGCACCTTCAGGCTTTCAAAGTGGTCAATGGATTTCAGGCTCCTGTATGTGGTTAGGCACCCAAAACATCTCACACGTGTGGTATCCACGTGTGGGTAGAAGTAGCAGAATGTATTTTGGGGTGTAATTCCACATATACCCATGTCTTGCGTGAGAAATAAATCATTTACATGACAACTTTGTGTAAAAAAAAATGTTTTTGTCATTTTCGGAAACTTGTGGAAAAAAAATAAATCTTCCATGGACTCAATATGCCTCTAAGAAGATAGCTTAGGGTGTCTATTTCTGAAAAGGGGTCATTTGGGGGTGTTTGTACTATCCTGGTATTTTAGCACCTCAAGAAATGTGATAGGCAGTCAGAAAGTAAAAGCTGTGTAAATTCAATTATCTATACCATAGTTTATAGAAGCTATAACTTTCACACAAAGCAATCAATATACACTTACTGGGATTTTTTAACCAAAAACATATAACAGAATATATTTTGGCCTAAATTTATGATGAAATTTTAGTTCTTTTCGATGTTTGTTTATGACCGAAATTAGAAAATACAGGGTTTTTTTTTAAAAAAAAATGTTCTTAAAAAATTTTTTTGCTTATAGCGCCAAAAATAAAAAGCGCACAGGTGATCAAATACCACCAAAAGAAATCTCTATTTGTGTGAAAAAGGGACAAACATTTCATTTATGTAACTTATTGCATGACCACGCAATTGTCCATTAAACTAGCGCAGCGCTGTATAGCAAAAAAAATGGCGTAAATTGCAGTATCTATACAATAGTTTGTAGACGCTATAACTTTCACACAAAGCAATCAATATACACTTATTGGGATTTTTTTACCAAAAATGTGTAGCAGAATACATTTTGGCCTACATTTATAACTAACCTTTAGTTTACTATATATTTTTTATAGCCGAAAGTAAAAAATATTGTTTTTCTTCAAAATTTTCAGTCTTTTTTTGTTTATAGCACGAAAAATAAAAAGCGCACAGGTGATCAAATACAACCGAAAGAAAGCTCTATTTGTATGAAAAAAGGATGTAAATTTTGTTTGGGTACAGCATTGCATGACCGCGCAATTATCAGTTGAATTTGTGCAGTGCCGAGTAGCAAAAAGAGGACTGGTCATTAAGGGGGTAAATCCTCTGGAGAGCAAGTGGTTAAACAATAACCAGTGATCTTGCCATAAAGGTCCTTGTATAGGCACTTTCTGTTAACTTCTGGACCCAAAAGATGTACTTAGGCCACTGTTTATCATAAGCATGCAGTAAACTGGTTTCTTTTCTTATGTCTTTATTATTTATGCATGATAACATTACACAGTGGATGTTTTAGATTTGCCATCAAAGTTCAAGCATAACTGTTATTTGTTTAAAAAAAATTGTAAAAACCATAAACATGTTATTTGAACAATGTTTTGACATCAATACCCTCTATCTACTGTAATGACTTTGACTACCTTTTAATCAAAGTGTATTAGTGTATTTATATACCTTGTATTCATGTATACAATATTTCATAATAAAAAGCAGTATAAAAGTATTGTCTTTCTACTTTTCTTGCAAGTGATTGTGTATTCTTTGCAAAGTGAACTTTCACCATGTTCTCTAAGCTCTAGGGAAAAATCCCTTGCAAAGTGAACAGCCTACTTGATTTTAGTAAATCAACATATTATCTCCAAACAAGGTGTATACCCCAATCCTGAGACAGTAAAGACAACACAAGAATGGAGGCACTTAATGTGACTGAAGTCAGAACTGTTCTGGGGCATTTCATCAAGCACATTGCCTATCCCACTTCCCATTTTTTTTTAAAAGATCCTACATTAGTAGGGAGGAGCTCAACGTTCTGTGAGCGTTCTGTCCAAACCCAAGTTTGGATGTTTGAAGAAACGCCCAAACGTTTATCCATTCAGCTGTGTTGAATGTAATGTATATTAGCAGTATTATTTCCGCTATTGCACATTTCAGCTTCCCAATGTCTAATGGTTGCTAAGGACGCTAGCTTGTGCAAACACCACTGAGTTGGTCACTTACTAATGCTAGCTATAGAGTCTACTGATTGAGGCACAGAGATATTTCTGAGAATAGTCCATGTTTATGCAGTTTTCATAACCCTTTTTTATTATTTTGCATTGCATGCTTGTTTTTGCCATGTCTAAGCCTTGTCAAAGTATGACTTCCAGAAGAATGGAGCAGTTGGGGATGGCAAGGAAGGTAAACATAAATTGGTTAGGGATTGGCAAATAAGAGATTGAATGGGCAAAGTGACAAATTGGTAAAGTCTCTTTAAACAAAAGCAACTGATTGGCGTATACAGTATGTGTCTAACACAAAAGTATTTTCTCCATGTCATTTTATTTTCCTTGTTCTTAAATTGAACAAACTCATAGATTCCAGCTCTACAGGAGAGAAATTAATTCAATGGGAATCAAGCTCACCTCCAGTAGATTCTTAAAAACAAATAATAAGTGCTGTATCCTCAAGCAAATGCCTTGCTGATCAAAGATGCATATGCATTATGAATTGTATCTAAATGTGCATTATCATGTACTATTAGAGAAAATAAATCTATTCGAGGGGGGGGGGGGTTTCTGTGTATTTATCTATCTAGAGAGATTGCAGTACATTAGGGGCTGCAAACAGTGAAAATGGTCTTAAGCACACACATTTTAGCCCAATCCAGATGAACCATTTAGCCCTGGCACTCCCCCCCCCCCATCTGACTATTGAAATATTGAAGGAGCCGGGAGGAAAACAGTCGATTGAACAGTGACTGCATAAAATCCAGTATTTTGACAGCTGGTAGCTGACATGGAAGAAAAATATATTTGAAATATATTTTTGAAACTATTTTTCCCAAATATATTGCCATATATTTGTAACGCTACAAATTAAA